GCACTCTACCCAGGGGGACAGCTTGAGGCTCTCTCTCAAAAAAAAAAAAAAATGTATAGCTACTGGCTTGGCGCCTATGGCTCAAGCAGCTAAGGCACTAGCCACATACAACTGGGCTGGTGGGTTCGAATACAACCCGGGCCCACCAAACAACAATGTCGGCTACAGCCAAAAAATAGCCGGACGTTGCCTCTGGTACCTGTAGTCCCAGCTACTTGGGAGGCAGAGGCAAGAGAATTGCTTAAGCCCAGGTTGCTGTGAGCTGTGATGCCATGGCACTCTACCCAGGGTGACAGCTTGATGCTCTGTCTCAATAATAATAATGTATAGCTACTGACTATAGGCAGTCTAAACCAACAACATAGAGTTGTTCTTCTGCCCCAAGAAAATTGCCATCTATCTGGCTCAGCAGCTGTAGCTCAGGTGGGTAGGGCACTAGCCACATACACCAGAGCTGACAGGTTTAAATCTAGCCTGGGCCAAAAAATAGCTGGGCATTATGGTGGGCACCTGTAGTCCTAGCTGCTTGGGAGGCTGAGCCAAGAAAATCTCTTGGGCCCAGGAGTTCAAGGTTGCTGTGAGCTGTGACGCCAAGGCACTCTACCTAGGGCCACAGCTTGGGATTCTGTCTCAGAAGAAAAAAAAAAAAAGAAAATTGCCATCTATTATATCCACCGCATGCCAGTCACTTGAGCTTATTTGTCTCATTTAAGAACCAAAGACAGGCTGCACTCAGTGGCTCATACCTGTAATCCTAATATTCTGAGAAGCTGAGGCAAGAGGGTTCCTTGAGCTCAGGAGTTAGAGACCATCCTGATCCTTGAGCTCAGGAGTTAGAGACCAACCTGAGGGGTCCCAGATGAGGAGTCCCAGTCCCTGTAGTCCCAGCTACTCAGGAGGCTAACACCGGAGGATAGCTTGAGTCTAGGAGTATGAGGCCATCCTGGACAATATAGTGTGACCATGTCTCTTTAATAAAAAAAAAAAGAGTTGTCCTGACCTAGAGAAATGTTAACAGTCTATCTCTTTGGTAATATAAAAAATGAAAAAGCTGAACAGAGCACTGAAAAGAGAGGAAATCTGTTGAACACTTGTCTAAATGATTGTGGAGTCTCCCCAGAGAATAGCAAAGCTTTCAGAGTTATGGGGGAGGAGGCTTTCTCACAGGGTCTGGTATATACCTCTAGATCTATTTTTACATATATCCTATTGTGTTATCATTTGTTCACCAGTAGTTTGAGAAGGATTCTTCTTGTTTTATTTTTCTTTGTGGTATCAAGCCTAGCACAGAACCGGGCATAAGAAGGTTTAGTAAATATTAAAACGCGTTAAAGATTTTTGAGATGTGAAATTAAATTATTTGAACTACGTTTTAGGAAGATGACTCTAACAGATGTGTGATGAATGAATGAATTTAATGACTCAAAGAGACCAACTGGGAGACCACTACAATGGTCTAACCAAGAGAAGTCTCATAACTATAATGTGATATTGGCAGCAGGATGGAAAGAAGAAAATATAAGAGGCAGGGGCAAAGAAAATATAAGAGGCTACCTGTAGCTCAAGGGTAGGGCCCCAACCCCATGTACCGCGGTATTGGGTTCAAGCCCAAACCAGCCAAAACTGCAAAAAAAAAAGGGTGGGGAGGGGCATTTCTATAGGCCTTAGGATTAATAGATTTAGGATGAGAGGAAAGATATAAATCTGATTCCTTGGTATCTTGGTGACATGAGCAATGTCCTTAACCAGTGACATGGGAAACACTGGAGAAGCAAGTTTGAGGTTAAAAATAATGATAATGATAAACAGGGCAGGGCCATGGCTTTGTTTGCTAGCTGAATCCCTCTGCACCTCCACCTACTTGGCCAAAAAAATAATAATAATGACAAGTAAGTTGGAAAAAGAGCCCTAATTTGTAGGATTTCCCTGTTGCCATGTTGTATTTTTCTTTTTGGCCATGTTGTAAATAATCTCATTGTAGTTGATTTCCAGCTAACCATGTAATATCACTGAACACAGAGTTGAAAAGAGATATGCAATTGCATATAATTAGATAATATTTCTACTATACAAATACAATAGGTATAACTTTTTTTTTGAGACAGAGTCTCGCTTTGTCCCCCTTGGTAGGGTGCCGGGGCATCATAGCTCACAGCAACCTCAGACTCTTGGGCTTAAGTGATTATCTTGCCTCAGGCTCCCAAGTACCTGGGACTATAGGAGCCTGCCATGATGCCCAGCTATTTTTTATTTTTTTTTAAGTTTTCTTTATTGGATGGAGCCTGTGGCTCAAAGGAATAGGGTGCTGGCCCCATATGCCTGAGGTGGCAGGTTCAAACCCAGCCCCAGCCAAAAAAAAAAAAAATGCAAAAAAAATTATTTTTCTTTATTTATTATTTTTTGAGAGAGTTTCAAGTTGTCACCCTCGGTAGAATGCCATGGCATCACAGCTTACAGCAACCTCAAACTCTTGGGCTTAAGTGATTC